TCAAGTGCATTAAGATCCATCATTGGGTGCTAGAGCTTGATTGACATTTACTTACTAGTCCCTGTGTATACCCTGTACACCTTGTTTGGCACTCGTGGCGACCTTCAAATAACTTTTGATCCTATGATATTAACCGCACATGGTATAAAGAAACTGTATTACTAGGAAAAATTTTAGCTTAATAAATTGGTACATAATTATATACACTTGGTATTTGATATAATTATAAAATTCTTCATGATATTATATCAAACTTTGGTAAAATAACTTCTTTTTCAAAGTGAATTTCAATTTATAGAATAATTGATTCAGTATTCTTACTAGAATTTAGACGTACATATTAATTTTAATATGCTTAACATAAAATGCCGTGTAATCGAATTTAAAAATGTTTATAAATGTTTCTAATCATGATTACATACATGTAGGTCACTGATATTTTGCTTCGTAATTCGGATAAGCAAGCAACACTTTTTGAAGCATATTTAGACATAGTGAGAAAGGTTAGAATAAACCTAATGAGTATATTTAAAAAACAATGCAGCTAACACGGCTCTATTTTCATATGATAGTTGGGATCTCGGAGATGAATGTATAAAGTCTGATTCGGTATCCATTTCGCCTGTACGCATTATTAAGGTTTTCTCTACAAAACATTTCTCGCCACGTGGGGCATGTTACTGGACTGACTGGAGTGTTTTTTTTTAAATTAACAGATATGCTCACATCTAAAACAGTCTTAGTTTTAATAGTGAATTAATAGTATTAGATTTTTAAAATGATTATGAATATTTTCAACGCTCTGGAAGCAAGTTTTTCGCTGCATGCTATTTATAGGGTCACTCGATTTTTCATACAAACGGGAAGTGTCTCTAATTATTGCCGTAATCAGAACTCAAAAAATACTTTCGATAATAATATTTTTTTGAAATAGATGGGAACGTTTTTGACACACATTAAAAAACAAATCGAAATATATCATTGAGATGAATCTTATTTACAACTTTTTACTTCTAACTCAAAATTGTTTCGTAATCCTCAAGACAGACGAAGTTCGACTTCTGGGGTGTTTTACTGTGTGTTAAATCATTTCCTGTGTATAGGGATTAGGAAACAAACGACCACAGGTAGACTGCTAGCCCTCAAGGCATTCACACCTGTACAAAATAAGCCCCCCCCCCCCTTCACCTAGAATTTACCACCCGGTAAAAAATCCCTGCCTTTAACACTTATATGTGACGATAGTTTCAGACTGAAAAAGATAGTTTCCTACCTGGAAGAAGACTACACACAGTTTAATCGGATCTTTTGACAATTAGAAAAATAAAGGAACTGAAGTTGGAGAATAACCTTAACAAATCCTCACAAGTCATGGAACCTGTTAATCCTGTATTACACATCACTCCTGTATTACATATCAATCCTGTATTACATATCAATCCTGTATTACATATCAATTCTTTATTACAAATCAATCCTGTATAACATATATCAATCCTGCATTACATATCAATCCTGTGTTACATATCAATCCTGTATTACAAATCAATCCTGTATTACATATCAATCCTGTATTACATATCAATCCTGTATTACATATCAATCCTTTATTACAAATCAATCCTGTATTACATATCAATCCTTTATTACAAATCAATCCTGTATTACATATCAATCCTGTATTACAAATCAATCCTGTATTACATATCAATCCTGTATAATATATATCAATCCTGTATTACAAATATCAATCTTGTATTACATATATCAATCTTACAGGGTTCTCCACATTTCAAAATTTAACCATGGAGGAAGCTGCGCAAAGGCGAAATGTAACCGAAAACACGAATGCGTGTTAGACTTCCTAACCTTCATTAATCAATAATTTATTTCACAAAACTTAACCACTGCAACACAAAAAGTTGAAATAACCAATAATTTTTTAAGCTAATAAAATATAAATAAAAATAAAAGAGATTATTTATCTTACTTTACAAATGTACCAAAATTGGCCCAAAACTGTACGAACATTTTGAAGGGATTTCAAAAAAATATTTTGATAGAGTAGCCATGGCAACATTATTCAAAAACTGATATACAGAATTGATGTTGCCTGTTGAATGAAACGTTTTATTAAATATGACTAAAACTGATGAATGGGTAGTAATTTGAAAAAAAGTTAACAGACACACAAACGAACAGACGAACGAACACCGACATCCTATCAAAGCCTAAGCTTTTTTAACTGCATGGTCTATGAAAACTTACTGATGGCATACATGGTAAAAGTAACTTAATATAACCAAGGGCATACGTTTGACATAACTGTAATATTGCTTTCTTTGTTTTGCTTTTTTCCCTAAATGTTCTTTTTTCTACATATTGCATTTTCGCCGAGTTTCATCCATTGTTTACTTCTCCAGGTGCCCCAGTGCTAAAAATAGCGCCACGCTGACGTTTCATAAACTCTAAAACTAAGACGGCGATTGGCACTTGCGTACATTTTATCAAAAAGATAAGAAAGTTAATACTTAAAAACAAAGCATGAGGAATTGATTAAATACAAAGAATAGGAAATTTTGAAAGGGTTAATTTTTTCTATGCACAGAAACTTGAATCGGATGCCTGTCGATTATCATGTTGTTATTGCTAGTTATGCCATCTTTTGTAAATCTGTTACCTTATAGTGAACACGTTGGAATTCCCCGAAATTACTTGTGTACAGGATATTTAACTCTCAAGATATTGATCATCAGCTGATTGACTCTCCATTGTCACGCTTCACAGCATTGTTGCCGATCAACGACCGTGTTTGTTTAGCACGGTCCGCTTTCTATCGAGGCATGCGAGGTGCATGGCTGTCGTAGTATAAACACAATTAACTACTCAAGTCATTAAAAAATAAGTGTCAATACTGAAATGCAAAAAAATTTTAAATCATGGCGGCCGTCGATTTTGACCATGGCGCAGCTCGTTTAACCATGGCGCACATAAATTTAACCATGGCGGGCCGCCATGGTAAAACCCCTTGTGGAGAACCCTGATCTTATATCATATATATCAATCCTGTATTACATATATCAATTCTGAATTCCCTATCAATCCTGTATTACATATATCAATCCTGTATTATATATATCAATCTTGTATTACGTATATCAATCCTGTATTACATATCAATCCTGTACTACAAATCAATCCTGTATTACAAATCAATCCTGTATTACATATCAATCCTGTATTACAAATATCAATCTTGTATTACATATTTCAATCTTATATTACATATATCAATCCTGTAAATTACATATATCAATCCTGTATTACATATATCAATTCTGAATGACCTATCAATTCTGTATTACATATATCAATCCTGTACTACATATCAATCCTGTATTACATATCAGTCACAGTAAACTGGAAAAAGACACTTGGAGTGCGTTTTTGAGAAAAAAATCGCACTTGAAAATTATGAAAAGTAAATTATAACAACTTGAATTTCACATATGTCGAGAACTTAAATATGACAAAAATTACTTGCACATATACAAATATAATTATATTCAAAAATATCCTTGAATCTACTTTCAAATCCATATGCTAAAAAATCAGCAGTACATTAAGTAAACAAATTGACGCTGCGATTATGTAATTCCTCAAAGCATTGTAAGTATTTACTGGCATACTAAAAACTTGGTCTGACAGGTTTGTCTGGATATGAATAGTTCAGAAATATCGTTCATATATTGATTTATTCTTACAAATCTGACCAGATCCTGTATTTGATTGGAAGAGAAATACTACTTACTCTAGATCTTCATATATAGTTTTAGGCTTCAATTTTCCCAAAAATTTATTTTTTTCAAGTATTAATTTGCAGAGCTTGCAGTAAATAACAAAACCTTTATATGTTATTCATTAAACTCTTTGCAAGACTTACATTCATTCACGCACAGTTTTCATTGAAACACCTCGTCAGATCGCATCACTTTAAGAGACATAATTTGTCGAAATGCGCATCTGGTGCATCAAAACTGGTACCGTATAAGATTTACATTATCACCCCTGGTTCGAAACCTCTGCTGGTGCACTGTTAATCCTCAAGGGTCTCTACAGTCCAGTAGCTAAGTACTTCGGTACTTGCTTGAAAATACGGATATATATTTAATTGCTGTGGAAAAATTTACAAATTCATTTCAAAATTAAGGATTATCTCCTCCATGTATAGCTCTGATCTTTCGACGTACTTGACTCCAGTCTTTGGCACCCCTTTTTGCAGCTCTCTCAAGTTTTGTTTTATTTAAATATTTCGGATTTCCAACGTTCCGGCATGAGCAACATCACATTCACATTTAACATAAAACCTTTATTTCTTTCTTCTTTATTTCTACGTATTGTACATAAATGCTTTTTGGACTTTATAACTTGATTTTAAAGTATTGGAGGTAGCCTTGTCCTAGTGATAGGGCGGTCCTTTCGTGATCGAGAGATCCCGGGTTAAATTTGATTCTCGTTCCCGGCGCCGAGTCAAACCTTGTTTTAACATGTGACTGTTCCTTCGTCAAACACTCGGAATAAAAAGTTAAGAACTTTTGGATGAGACCTTAAAAAACGAGGTCCTGTTGGCACAGTAATTAAGGAACCCTCAGTGCTCAATGACACAGAGTGATGAGTAAATGTTTAAATGTGAAGCCCTTCACTGATATAATGACGTCTTCTGTTAGTGAAAAATTCTCGCAAGGGACGTTAAGCAAAACAGTTAATATATAAATAAATAAATCAAGTGTTCTCTTCAAGTGATATAAATAGCTTTCAATATATACCATTATAAAGAGTTTGTATATATGAAATTTAAAATAAAGAAAAACACCAAAAGACGTCAGTATATACAAGTAGTGAAAAGGAGGTGAATCAAGACCACATGAACTGAAGAACAAGTTTAAGAGCCTTGATTAGATATCATTAGTGATACTGTTAGGACATCAAGTCGAGCCAGATTTCAATCTATGCCCTTCAGCTTGGCGCTCTCCCAGAGTTTTTAACAGCGATAACAAATTTCACATGTATCACGAGCCACGAGGTATCTTCACATCAAAATGAAAATATTTCCGGGTTTATTATTTACAAAAAGGTGGATTTTTACATAAGATAGATTTCCTTGTTTTTTTTTTTTTTTTAAATAAGACAATTCTCTCTCAGTGACTGTGATTACTTATTGATTCATTAATTGTCCAAGGATATACACGTACATTGTGGAAAACACGTTAGTAAGTAGGCGACTTTTCTGAATGGGACATTTACTTCAGCATTTTTTCAAGTGACGCCTAAGAATATAAATTATTTTCCTTTGGTGAAGTATCTACTCATGTGCTTATTGTGTGATTTCCATTTAGCCGTCACTGTTTTAGGCTGAGGCTCTCGGGCAGACATGTTGACAGTCTACCACCTTCTTCGGACATGTCTGTGGACGATTCCGGTGTTTACCTTTCTCTGGTCTGTGCCTGCTTTCTTCATCACGTAAGTATGGTAGCTGACTAAGCACGTATTGAGGACCTGTTTGGATCCAAGTGAACAGACAGCCATTATCCATTGATTACAGAACACTAATAATGAAACCTAAAACTTGGGTACGACTTTCAGTTCAAACTTAATTCTCCTAGCCTCCACTGAGGTGCATTTGTTAAAACATGATAAAGTAAATAAAAAATTGAACTGAGTAAACAATTTAGAGTTGATTCAGGAAAGATCTCCAGTCTCAAATATTTGCTAATTGTTTTAATTGGAAGTATTTCCTTTGTTTGTCAATAGTTTATAAAAATAGGTAAAATCTTTGAAAGTTATTAGGAAATTTATGTGAAAATTTTGCTCTAAATTTTGATACAATCATTTCGTTCTATAAGATAAGTTCTTTATATAACTCCTCTTCTTTATTATTGTTTAAAATGTAGCAAATATGCATTCTATGCATTGATGGTATATCTTGTAGATCGAACTCACATTTATTTAGCAGTATGTTTTTGATAAAAATACATAAAGTTTGCTTATCTTAGTCATAATATTACTTATATAATAATTATAGTTATTTATATATCATTTGGGGTTTGGTCGTTTCTTTCAGAGCTAACTGTTTTTATATCTTAGAGCAATATATTTTTCTGATGCCCATGCATACGTTCTTTTACTTTGTGTCTAATATAATGCACTCAGACGACATTTAGCAATTTTTCTGCACTATTAAAACATTCACAAATATAGCGGTCAATAAAAGACTAGGCCCCAGGATCATGATTCAGTCTTAGGCATGTCAAATTTTCAGTCATTTTTGAATTGAATATTTAATATTAATTGATCTTGAAAATCAAATTAGCGATATGGAAGGGGAATAATTTTGAATAACATTTCAAATTTTCTGTTTTCTATGACAAATTTTAAGACAAGGTAGAAATTTTGAATTAAGTTTCCTTAATGATCCTGGGGCAAGATGTCGGTCCATTTCTGATAGCTTAGTAGGTGTCGTCTACTGTTAGGCTATGTCGTCTGTTGGTGGCACAGTCTTCTGCTGGTGTCACTGTTTTCTGCAGATGACGTTTTGCATTGTGAATATTCCTCAAAATGAGGAAATTAGCGACTGCCCTTTTGCTTGGAGTTCAAGAACTTTTTCTATTGAGAATTGACACAACAGGTACTTAGATCCATTCAAAACCATTTTCCCTAGCAGCACGACACAGGCTCAGTGGCAGTTATCCAGATGAAATATCCGGATTTCAGCACATAATTAAATGGACCTATTACTGCAGAGTTTAATCATGTCATTTTCTTTGCAACTTTAATTTCACAAACATGATTTCTCTGATAAAGTAATTTGTCTTGGAAGACAAATAAGCAGAAGCTGAGGTTTGAGTATTATTGGTAATAAGAATGTACGATTTTTGTGGCAAGAGAAAAAATAACAATATGTAATTCTATTTGAATGGGAGACGACATTTTGTTGGCCATCATCAAAGATAAACGAGGATAAATCATCAACTTATAATAAGGGTAATATCCAACACATTCATCAGGCTGATACTCCAAGAACAAACGTCATTGAAGACGGTAATGGTTTTAAGGGATTGGAGAAAACTAATTCCAGTTTTCCTTTACTAAAACATAAAGATAATAAGCTAGGTTGAGAAACCCTTTCGACCGCCTCCCTTTGGGATGACGTTGAGCACACTGCATTTTTCAAACATGATGCTGATTTTACCCCGTAATTCATGAAGTTGTATTATTTTCTTAATGTTATTGGTTTTTCGGACTCTTTTTTGGTTATTTAAAATGCTTCGACAGCAGATGTTAACCTTTCTAACGAAAGTACAGATGTCATATTTCGTGCACTGGTATTATATAAATATTGTCTTACAAAATGAAAGTCTCAAGTAGGCAATTTTGCAACATGTGTTGCCTAAGTACATGTATCTAATACATAGTTAATATATGAGGGAAAAATTCTTTGACACAATTTTTTTTTTAGTTTTAAATATAAAATATGCTTCATTTAGGATTTTAATTACAAAAGTTTCACATTGTGATCTTATTGTTGTAGGCATGAAACCAGAATCTCCCTAAATGTCTTACTTTTGTAGGAGCGAAATCTTTACACAAACAAGTATATTTCTATCTTGTATACCCATTCAAAAGAAGCTGAACAATGGTATAGATGACAAAGTACATATCATTCAATTATTTATGATTTCTAAACCATAGCAATATTATTGTATTTTGTGCACAAAATGCGAATATTATACTGATGTAATCATATATTTTTTGTCTCCAAATCTTTGCCATATAAGACCCCGATACTCGTACGACAATTGACACAAATCTTCAAACATTTTATCTGGAAAATACAGTCCCAAAACAGGTCTTGATGTAAAAATACTTCTCTTGAGAAGAAATCGGTAAGAATAACAATCGCTGTACATCTAACTCTAGACATGCTGAACGGGTACTGGGGAACACTGAGTCCTTCACTTCTTTATCTTGAATGACAATAACAGATAAGGTTTAGTTGGTTTGGTCTCTCCAAGACCCAGTCACTAATGGCGGTATAGGAAATGTATCCCTCATAAGTACTCCGATTGAGTGGTTATGATCATTAAGAGCAGCTGAATTACCGGCCGGAAGTTGCATTAATGATCGACTCCAGCTACGAACTAGAACGAATATTGTCAGTGTATCTAATACTGTACATTTTATTACAGATATGGTATTTCACAGGCGTTAAATCACACGTCCGATGTTTTTCCATACATAAGGTATGCATATCACATTTTATGAAGCAGATAAAAATCTCATTAATGGTCACATGAAAATGAGATGTTGTACTGACAATCATAATTTTTGAAATAAAACACTGTAAAAAACTTAATCAGTCAATGCATTAATTGTTTAAATATATGCTAACATTAAAAAGAACCTTTCTGATACAGCACTGATAATAATACGGTGTCATATCTGTTAAGTTAATAAGTTTATATACTTCACTACTGATGTAGATTTACGTATTGTCATGTTCACAAGCTTTAAAAATAAAAAAAAAGATTTGAATTAAATTTTAAAAAAAATGTAAACACAGTTTTAGATTCTCACTGTATTCGATTCATAATTGAGGGAACTTTCAATAAGCATATATTCTGAATGATATAACAGGTCCGAGTTAATCTGACACTTCCAGAAGTAAACATGAACGCTGCTTTACATTATACAGTAATACTGTTTATAGTTTATATGCATTTAATGATTTTCAAAGATAAAAATTTTCAAAATGCTTCACAGATATCTTTTATTTTTGTAGCAACATTTTTCAACTTACTTCCTTTGTTTGTAAAAGCGTATGTGTCTCCTGGCCAACGCAATTTCTGCACTCTTTCCTTTAGCACAGATACGCATGGCTTCCATTTGAGGCCAAGACTGACAGTAAACTAAATGACGGGGTCACGTCACCCCATCTAACATTCGACAAACCTCGGCAGATTTCGGTACCCCTAGATGATCTGAGTGTCCATCTAAAAGACTGGGTCAGATGACCCTCTCTAAAATGATTATTTGCAATGAATGCAGTTGCAACTGATCCCCTTCCCTTCAAAAATCACCACAACTCAAATATTTAAATGACGTGTCCATTAGTTAGAAAATTTCTAGAAAATTTGAATGCAATATAATTTTTTTATTATTTAAAAGAAATTTTAAAAATCATTTATTTACACCTTAAAGTGAAAGTGGTGAATTGCAGAAGGGGGAACAAGCAAAACTAATATGTTAGCCCGATGAAATTAACACATTCATAACTTTGCCTTTGAGATGCATTCTTCATATTTTTTTTTCATCACAAGAATTTACCCATCAATACTTACACAGAACGTTTAGCCAAACCTGATTTGTTCTTTGTGTAAATATATCACTTGAGATATTTTGTTCTTTCAGTAAAACAGGAACGGAAGTTCCGGAGAGAGGACTATTTTCTTTGACAGTCTTTGTCTGCAGTATTGCTTGTGAGTACAAGATATAATTATTAAGGTTAGTTTGATGGTGGGGTACCAGACGTCGTTAAGACTATACAACATTATGGTTTGTTTGATGGTTGGTTACCAGAAGTCGTTAAGACTACACAACATTATGATTAGGTTGCTGACATTAGTGCTAAGTCAGATACAACAAGGTTGTAAGCATGGTGCAACCATAGCTTAAAGAGAAAGAAATATATCTTTTAAAACAACTGTGTCTGTCAAATTTTAAACTGTGCGATATTTTTGCCATAGGACGAAAATAATCCTGTATTCAGTAATATGGTCTGCCTAAAAAATTGGTTAGTCCCTTAGAATACGATAGATTAGATACGATAGATTTAGTGCTACACCATAATTAGAGTGGTGCAATATAAATGCGGGAAATATAGCTGGTGCAACATTAAGTGATATTATACTTTCATGTAAATTAGTTGAATCTGATCCTTCGAGAAACATTTGTTAAAAAACACTATTACCCGCTGAATAATGAAGCCACGCACTCCAGCATAGCAACAGTCTACAATGCTTGACGACGAGTGATATTCCAAATAATATTGACTGCCCAGAATTTATGCGCGCAAGGTTCACTGTTATATGTATTTGTATAAAACATTCAGTATAATATAATTAATACTGCTTGTAGTTGAGTGTAACATTGAAAATTTTCACCCCTCGAAAACCATGATTGTTAACCTCAGCTGCGCCTCGGCTGACAATGGTTTTCTTGGAGTGAAAATTTTCAATGTTACACTCAACTACATGCAGTATTTATATAATTGTGATGAAAAAATAAAGTCTGATAAATACTAACACGCTCGATATATAAATTCTGTCAAGCAGTTTGTTGCCGTCAATGAACCAAATGTGAATATTATTTACAAGATATCCATGTAATATAACTGATCTCTCTTCTTTATTCTCTAGAAGCTTTTAGTTTAACTTAAAATTAAATTAAAGATCTAATAATTTTTTTTAATAGACTTCATTTTTATGTTCATTTTTCTCTGGAGATTATTTTTTCCTTCCCCTTTTTGCACTCCTTTTTTCTACATATACAGAAAAATATATATTATATAAACAGAAAAGTGTAATTTGATTGAAATACAGTTCCTGGGTAAAAATTATAGGTTGTTATGATGAAGATTTTTTTCAATCAGGTGGTAGGTTCAGTGTCTGTAGCAGCGAAAACATGATGAGAACAATGTAATAAGATAAATCTGTTTGTTTTGTTTATTTTTTAGTAGCTCTGTTAAATACTATAATTTTGAAATAAGAGTATCTATCTGGCTTATACTTCAGACCAATGACCATCTTATCATATGATAACACTCAATTTACCCATGGTTTTTGTGCAATGACTGTGCATTTTATAATTTGTCTTTATTTTCATTATCATTTTGTACAGAAATTATGATTCTATAGCCAGCACACCGCTGGTTTCATTACGGTGTAGACAGCCCTCACCTGCTGCTACAGACTCACATTAATAACACTCCTAAGTGGAAAGCTTCCGTTCTGATATTAATTTTCTGTTTCAGTGGCCCTTAATGCAGAGATTCGATTCCAATACGTCCGCCTTATGATGACACAGATGTCCTTGACCCCGGCGGAGAAATCGCGCTGGATCACACTTAACAAATTGTCGTTAGCATTAGGTCTTGTTGCGTGCTTTGGGCTAGTGTTTGTGGCTAGTTTCCAGGTAATAATGCAGCTTTGGTGGAATATGCATGTATCATTGAGACTTGAATCAGTAGGATAATCACTAAATCTGTAATAAAGATATATCACCAGAGAATTCTGTCAGTAGATATTTCACTGGAGTATTCTATCATTAGATATATCACCAGAGAATTCTGTCAGTAGATATATCACCAGAGAATTCTGTCAGTAGATATATCACCAGAGAATTGTGTCAGTAGATATATCACTAGAGAATTCTCTCAGTAGAATATATCACTGGAGTATTCTATCAGTAGAATATATCACTGGAGTAGTAGAATATATCACTGGAGTATTCTATCAGTAGAATATATCACTGGAGTATTCTATCAGTAGATATATCACTAGAGTATTCTATCAGTAGAATATATCACTAGAGTATTCTCTCAGTAGAATATATCACTGGAGTATTCTATCAGTAGAATATATCACTGGAGTATTCTCTCAGTATATATATCACTGGAGTATTCTCTCAGTAGAATATATCATTAGAGAATTCTATCAGTAGAATATATCACTAGAGAATTCTATCAGTAGAATATATCACTAAAGAATTCTATTAGTAGATATATCACTGGAGTATTCTCTCAGTAGAATATATCACTAGAGTATTCTATCAGTAGAATATATCACTGGAGTATTCTATCAGTAGAATATATCACTGGAGTATTCTCTCAGTAGAATATATCATTAGAGAATTCTATCAGTAGAATATATCATTAGAGAATTCTATCAGTAGAATATATCACTAAAGAATTCTATCAGTAGATATATCACTGGAGTATTCTCTCAGTAGAATATATCACTAGAGTATTCTATCAGTAGAATATATCACTGGAGTATTCTATCAGTAGAATATATCACTGGAGTATTCTATCAGTAGAATATATCATTAGAGAATTCAGTAGAATAAATGAAGAGAATGATATGGCCATCCTGTAAAATGACTCTGATACGATGTGTTAAGCATGTCATTTCTTTTGAAAAATTATACTTGAAATAGTTTTAGGAAAACATCAAATACAGGGTGTTTCATAATATATATTACATCTTCAAATTTAATTATTTTTCTTACCTATCATATTTCTATTACAAACTATATATCATTTTAAAAATCAAATCCTGCATTTTTGTTCCATGTGAAAAAGTCAAGGAAATCATGGTATTACAATGATAAATTGTTTCATAAACGCTAATGTCATAATTTGAGTATTTTTCGAAATGGACGTAACTTATCAACATATTGCTGAATTGTAAAGATGTTTTTTTTTCAATACATGTGGCCAATATTCAGAAGTTGATGAAGAAAAAAGATTCGAAAAGAATGAAAACTTTTTAGGATGCTTATCAGATGGCTAGTAACAAAATTAGTGGACAGGGGGACGGGCAATATGTGATAACTGACACGGTACTCCAGAGAGCCGAAGGATTTCAAGAACCGAAGATTTAATTGGTGAACTGGAGACTCTTAAATAATTTAGCAAACTCCTGAGTAAAGTGTCAGATGGATGTTTTCAGAAATTGATGCTGGCAATATCAGCATTGCCAGCATATATTGAACTTTGAAATATGATATACATGTAACACTATATAGCTATCAGCTTACAAAATTTCAATGATGCAATACCCCAAGAAAAGAGTTTAATCTCTGCATTCGCCAATCTCAATCAAGCCTTTTTTGTAGGGGTTCTTTAGGACAGGGTCTACAATCTTAAACTACAGATACTGTGTCAGCTGCAAAACGCCCCATAAACCTTCAAATGAGGAGTGTCTAACAAATATGTCTGACAAGGTTATACAAATTTCGAGAAGAAATTTTCATTTGTAGTTGAAATAGTGGAGATCATTAAGAACAAGTGATTTGGGCTTTTGACGTTGTGAAATTCAACGTAACAAAAATGGCATAATTTAGAAATTTCGCTAATTTTCATTAATGTTTGAGATTTCGTCAAGTGTTTAATATTTTGGTTGGTAATTACACATAATGAATCTTATGGATACATGCACCAAATTGATAAAAACACTTGTCTGTATCTTTTTCTTGTGTTTGTCAAATTGAAGATTCAAAATGTAACATATATTATGAAACGCCCTGTAGCATTGTTGAAATACTTATAGATTACAAAACTTTATGCAAACATTCCCCACGAAAAGTTAAAGTCCAGGCTTTTTAACATCATTGACGTATGCTTTTTTCAATATAAACGGAACTCGAAAATTTATTCACATTTGGCCATTTGCAACATTATTTTGTTAAAAAAATTCTAATTCTACACACAAATACTTTGAAGTTAACATTATAAAGATGCTTGAGTTTCTGACTGACAATATCTATGTAGTTTTTTGAGACCAGGTCTTCGAACAATCTGTCGAAATTCCCCTACATACCAGTAGTTATTAGCAGAACTATTTTTGTATTCATATAAAGCAGAATTTATTCAAAATAATGTAATGAGAAGAAAACACTTGCTGTGACCTTCAACTCGACATTTAGATATATCGACGACGTACAGGTATTATCAATTAACAATAGTTACTTCCATTTATATGTCGCCTCGATATATCTCAGTGAGCTTGAAATAAAAGATACCACAGAATCTGATACATTTGTTTCATATCTGGATATTTTAGCTAAAAAAGACGTTAATGGTAACCTAAAACTAAGTTTTATGATAAATGATGACTTCAACTTTTTAATCGTCACCTTCCCTTACTTATGTAGCAATATACCCTTATCACCTGCATATGGGGTTTAAGTCCCTCAGTTGATTCGATATGCAAAAGCATGCTCTATGTACGAACAATTTCTAAAACGAGGCAATCTATTGACAAACAAGATGATGAAACAAGAATATCAACATCAACAGTTTCGTTTAGAGTCATAATTTCGCAAGTTCTATGGTCAATACAATGACCTTGTCAGCAAGTATAGTTTATCATTAAGTCTAATGCTGACTGACCTTTTTCTTACTAACTGATAGGCCATTATTTACCCACTGGATTGTCTATGGATTTTTCCTGTTTTCCCGATCATGACAAATAGAACACGGCGGGTGTGAACGGTAGGCAGGGGATGCTCATCCCTCCATGGCACCTGATCCCACCTCTGATGTTTTAGACGTCCGTGTTGCCTCTGCTCCTGATTTGTATTGTTTGAATGGATTTTTGAGCTTGAATACTGTTCGTTATACCCTTTTTTCTGATATAGATATTGCATTGAGGTTTTTGAGTATAGATATGGCATTGAGGTCCATGAGTATATATGTGGCATTGATGCCCATGAGTATAGATATGGCATTGGGGTCCATGACTATAGGCATTGAGGTCCATGAGTATAGAAATGGCATTGAGGTTCATGAGTATAGATAGGGCATTGGGGTTCAAGGAGTATAGATATAGTATTGAGGTCCTTAAGCCTATAGATATGGTATTGAGGTACAGGAGTATAGATATGGCATTGGGGTTCAATGAGTATAGATATGGTATTGAGGTCCTTAGGCCTATAGATATGGTATTGAGGTCCAGGAGTATAGAAATGTATTGATGTCCATGAGTAAAGTTTGGGCATTGAGGTTCATGAGTAAAGTTTTGGCATTGAGGTTCATAAGTATAGATATGACATTGACGTTCATGAGTATAGATATGACATTAAGGTTCATGAGTATAGATATAACATTGAGGTAATGAGTATAGATATAACATTGAGGTCATGAGTATAGATATGACATTGAGGTTCAATGGTATTGAGGTCTATAAGTATATCGTTATGGTATTGAGGTTCATGAATATAGATATTGCATTGAGGTTCATGAGTATAAATATAATATTGAGATCCATAAGTATAGATACGGTATTAAAGGGGTTCTATTTTGATAGAGGACACGTGCATCATTCTACTGTGATTACCCGCGGTAGCATTCGATTACTTTTACTCTTACTATACAGATAATTAGGGACTGCATTACTTCCTACGCGACATCTATTTAAAGAATTTCTAAATGTACATGAATTTTACTCATCTTTTCATCTTTTGAATAGAGATTATATTTCAAATTAAAGGTGTTTTTTTTGGGAAAAAATGATTCCTCCAAGGGTGATAAAAGAAAAGTTACTTGCTTATATTGTTTTCATTTTTCGTGCTCTTTCTATCTTGAAATACGTATACCTATTATAAGGCGATACATATAAATAAGGAATTATATTTAATGATTATTGCATTTCAAATAGGATCCTTTTTTGTCAGCGTCTGATTTTGTCTCTATAAGCCCTAACTACTAGTTTTATAAATTTCTTTTCTGTTGACAAGGAAGATTGAATTAATATTGAATATCTGAGCCTGGAAATAATTAATTCTCACCGGCGACGGTTTTACGTCAGCTTTTCATTCGCTGTGGTCGTAATGAGAAATAATGTTAAACTAGTACCTTAAAAAGGCTTGTGATAATAAATGACTAAGGAAGAAAACAAAGTGTCTGTCTGCAGACCCTTTAGCCATAAATCTAATAATAAGGATACAATTTGCAAAGCGACTTCACCTTGAAAAAGAAATCACAAACATGTTTTATTTGATTATCATGTATTTCAGAGTTATGCTTTCTAAAGTTTTTTAAGGTTTTAATTCTTATATTAAAACATGATCCAAGTGATAATGCCTTTTATCAGTATTTTAATGTATATTCTATGTTTTTCTTAGTGATGCACACATTTCCTATCACCTCAGTATATTTATACAAAAGGTAGGAAACCTATATGCTTTGCCCCGGCTGTCTTTCACAAAATCGTGTCTTAACAAAACCTTTAGGAAATGGTTTGAAGTGTTGAAATTGTGCTGAGCTTTGACAGTTAAAACATAGAATGGAACGGATTCAAATATGGATATATCGGTTGCCCTTCACATGAAGGACTACTTAAAAAAAAAGAAAGAAAAAAAAACCCTCAAATCACATTATAACTGTAACGTTTTCTGGCCAATGGGAACACCTTTAACTTAACTATTCTAACAGAGCAATATCTTTATGCCGATTGATTAATTCTGTTCAATTTCTGTTCAATTACTTGTATGTTGTTAATCATTGCAACAGACTATATCATCATCCTGGGGAAATCTTTACAGAGGGCTTATCGTAATAAAGAAATATGTAATGAAGAAATATATTGTTGGGGAAGAAGAATTCTATTGTTTATTTTAAATGTATATAAATGTAGGAATTGAAACTCTATTTTCTACAACCAATGTTATCTTATGCCAGGGTATTTCATATTTAGAGCTTCACAGTTAACTAATTATATATATTGTTATATATTGTACATTTCGATCCTTTACACAGTATATGGATGCTAATACATATAATTAATGGAATATATTGGAAAAATGGATACCTGCTTAGACTTTAAACCTCATGACATCATAATGTGTGAAAAATCCCATATACTAGTATCTAATCACATGTTTGACCACATGGCTAATGTACCAAGGCCTTCTTGTATACATGGTCCCTTACATGTCACTAATCTTTTACCAGGTAGATACTCTTCCAGTGCCTCACTATATGGGAGCCTTTGCGACCTTTGGTCTCTCGCTCATTTGTTGTTGGATCCATGCTGCCATTACGTACAAGCTCTACAAAGAGGAGAGGAAGTCGGGGCTTAAATACACATTCATTGTACAGATTCTAGTTAGCTTAGCTACCACTGTCAGCTTCCTTACCTGTATCCTTTAACAACATGTGTACTTGACCGGAAAGGTCAGTATCTGTGGTTAGATTAATTTGTCCGTCGTCCGTCTCTTCTATCTCTTTTTCGCTCAAAAAGCAGATAAATATAATGTATAAAAGCTCACCAGATAAATATATGTATTTACACAAAACTACACCATATTTTTAATACAAGGAAGGATCACACAATGGAATCCAATTTATATAGTTAAATAGAAAAAAAAATCTCTGAAGAAAAGTTTTTTTTTTAAATTTTTTAAATGTCCCTGTTCTTAATAATGGACTAAGTTCGGATACAATATGAGTTTCACATAAGTATTTGTAAGAACTATAATCCCAAATTGTTCCAATATAGCCTCATTAGTCAATTGAATGATATACAAGTGTCCGTCTCTGGGTAGATCCTTATAAATTCAAACTGTGAATTTCCACTCGCACAAGATCAGTCAAGAGTATGTAATTGAGAAACTAATTACCGGGGGATCCCTTTCCCCAATAAAATTTTGATTTAAGTCAAAAGGAGGCCTAGAATTTTTCTCTTCTTTAAAAAAAATTATCAATTTGTCAGATCGATGACCAAGCACTTCAATGCACTGCAATATCTTAATTTTTATTATAAAACCATATTATAAATTTAGTACTTTATGTATGTTTTCATAATATAATTATTTTCAAATAAAAATTATGGAAACGTGGCGTTTTTAAAAGCTTACGGATTTGTCTCTATGTAAATAATTTGAAATAAAGATTGAAATGCTTTCTATTGCTCCGACGTTTCTACTCATATTTTTTTTTTTATAAATGTTTCTGTATTTTGTGATGAGGCTGCCACTAAACTACGAATGACCTACTGATGACAGGCTTAGCTTAAAGGTCTAATGAAACTTTTAATTTTAACCATAAGATCTTCTTACAGTGACATCTAGGGAGCAATGAACTTTGATACACCGTTCAACTTGCCAAGTTGATTGCAAATCGTGATTGTGTGCAATTGAGAGTGATTTTCTCCTCGCTGGGATAATGAATGGCCTTCGGTTTTATTAATTAAAATGATTTCATTCTAAGCGACTTTACAACAACATTGGGAAGCCTTAGCCGAGTTTGTCCGACACATTCATGCTCTATTAGCCCATCGATAAACTAAGGTTTAGTGAGATAAATTTAATTAATGAATTTCTTTGTAAGAAGAATGATAGAACATTATCGTCAGAATTTCGTCTCGGTAAAAACGAGATTTTTCCTCTCATTTTAAATTACATTATGGAGCCCTGTTCAATTTTTTTTTCAGGGTCTTGCCAAAATTACAGTGTTTGTATTTGTTTTGCTTCCATTTATGTATATTTTTACACCAATATTTTTCTGTAAAAGAAAACCTTAATGATGTACAGTTATTATCAGTTTTGCTTCTTATAGATATCAGAAAAGTAAAGGATATGGCACAAAAGAGGTAGGATTTGGTCTCTAAAGTACTTTACATGGAATTAAAATAACGCATCAGGTTTCTCAAAATACTATCACTGTGTCATTCATTAACTTACAGTATATCATCAAATGAAAGTAGGTTAACATTTAGTAGACATTAATGACGGTGTAAAAATTTAAATACCAATTTAAATTCAGTAACAAAACAACCTTTAAATTGTAATATTTCTGTCAATCAGAGTATGATATAATAATAACCTTTTTAATTCATAGAAAAGTGGATAGGATAATTGATAATCAAATATAAATCAGTCAATCAGATTTCAGGTACGAATATTAACTTTTGAGAATTTTTATTTATAAAAATCTTAATAAATACAACTTACTCCCCATTTTAGTAACCAAACCATTTCCCCTACGTATTTATCTATTTTTAACTAAAAGTTTCTCCATTTAGATATATTTCATATTTATTCTTAAGAATTAGGTGATAATAGTTAAAAGTTCATCTGATGTATTATTGTCCTTAAAGTGCGCCTACACATGATGAAATTCCACAGAAATTAATTGCAATACATACTTAAGATTCTGTTGATTTAAAACTGAATTTTTGTTATGCTTTATTTTTGTCCAGAATGAGTTGCGTGATGTATTTCAGTCCGCCTCCAGTTCAGAATGGGTGCTAGCAATCACCACTATCTCCTTCGTCCTAACATTTATACCAGGCTTCAGAACGATAGAATTTGACGGATTCAATGTAAAATTCAAATCGCCAGCTACCAACAGTAAAACAGTGAGTTTGCATGAACAATAAGATCAGTAGCATCATCCAACAGTAAAACAGTGAATAAGCAATGAGATACATGTATCACAATCTAATCCAATTAACACACACACACGCACACAAATTATATATATATATATATATATATATATATATATATATATATATATATATATATATATATATATATATATATATATATATATATATATATTCCCTCTAGCTCTTTCTTTGTTTTAAAATATATAAATACATCATAATTTTTTCTCTGCAGAACATTTGCCTGCGGCTTTGTGATTGTTGTTCATGAGGAAGAGGCACATTTCCTGTCAACTTGTATCAGAGATTTTTACAAGTACAGGCAACGATTCAGGCAAGAGAACATAATATCACGGATATGACATACAAACTTTCAAGATACAGAAAAAGACTTCTGATGATAAAAAAGTGATATCAAATGAGCTTCAGGTGTATATCAGTAAATAATATTGTATTTTATTGAATTATCTTGCCAGGCAACTGACAAATTTATGATAAACAACCTCTTTTTATTTTAACTCTATGTTAGACAAATTGTTCTTTGATTACTTGGTTGCTATGGCATTTCTGGTATTGATACTGATGAATGAGTCAAGACACGTAGAACACGTCTGTTTCTGTTCTAGGAGCCATATAAATTCATAGAAATTTTGCAAATTTCCCGACTTATTTACATTTTCTGCATATTGATACAATTATGACACATACTAAAGTTTGGTTAGTGATGCTACATCCATCTGATTGATACTGATATTCATATCCAGAACTGATCGTGGTAATGTTTTGTTTATTTTTTGTTGTCTGTTTTTGTTTCCTTGTTTGCGTTAATGACTTGCTTGTAAGATTATCAAAAGAATCTGTCTTCCTGCTTATTCACCTCCCTCTTTTTAGTAAAAATGTCTCTCCAACTGATTTCATTTTTTTCAGATATTTTTTTTTTAATTTTTCAGTAGCGATTAAATATTTATTGAGGAAATGTTTACTGTAAACGTATTTTATTCCAAGAGGTCATAATTCCGCGGAATTATGATTTCTGTTCAGTTTCCAGGTAGACAATTACAGAAAATCTGTGACCATATACGTAGAGTAAATAAATCCCAAATAAAAGTGGGAACGTCTAAAGAATGTAAATCTTATCCAATGCTATTCTGAAGTGTCTTGTTTGTCTTCGTGAAATAAAGATTAATTATTTTTGTCATGAATTTCTTGATACTTTTTTCAATTGCCAACCGAAGTGTATGGCAATCTATTCAACAAAATATCTAAATGAAATCATACACGTTTAAAGAGTGTATTGATTTATGATGAAACGTCATCAAAAAGAGAGTAAACAAACTGAATTATGTTATCAGACACATATCTTGGGATTTCTGAGAGCAAGCCGTGCGTTTGTTCCAATCCCTAATATTTAACTCCAGAAAGCAGGACGATAGTCTAGTTAGTGACATATCATAACATCAAAAATTTAGTAATCAGCCGTTTTTTTTAAAGAATATCCACTTTACATATGATCCAAGTGTGCATACATTTCAACTAATCTGTTGCATACAGTGCTTATGATCTTTTAACCAGCTGAATGTATCATTAAATACTTCTGTCATTGCTCTGTCAAAAATACGTTAGAAATTAAACGAGGTCCTGAAGATAACTATCTATTATACAATCATTTCAGAAGATTCCTCTAAAAAGGTTTGGAAGATTGCACTGGCACTTATCGTCATTTCTTCCTACTAATGTCCTAATTACACGAATGAGATGTTTTGTTTTTAAACAATAGGACTCCTAAGCTACATGTATGCACGATATGAGGTTCAAAACTGGAATTCTTTTATCGGCTCTATGAAAACTATTTATCCTTCTGTCTTTAATAATTCAGAAGTGAAAAAGGAATTACATAGATTACACGATCAGTATATACTGGTCCCAGCTGACAAAGCTGGTAACAATATAGTCTTTGTTTATAAGGCTCATTATTTGAATTGTATTTTAAAGGAATTAGGATTTAATTCTAAAGGTGGAAATCCAACTTACACTCATACCTCCCTTTCTAAGAAGGAAATTCTTCAAAATCATATGTCCGTTTTAGATAATTTTAATATTCCCAACAATCAGATTGAATTTGAATTACCATACCTTTACTGGATTCCTAAACTTCATAAAAATCCTTACAAACAGAGATACATAGCGGGTTCCAGTAAATGTTCTACCACGCCTTTTTCCTTACTTCTCACTAAAATATTTACTGTAATGAAGGATCGAGAACTTCAAGATTTCTGTTCAACAGTATATTCGAGAAGTTGTGTAAATCAGATGTGGATACTTAGAAACTCCAAAGAACATTTGGAAAATTTGTAATCATAGAATTTTACTAAAATCAATAGCATCAAAACGTGCGACTTTTTCAACACATTATACAACCTTTCCCTACGACAAATTGAAGTCCATGCTTTTCGACATAATAGACAGCTGCTTTATCAATAAAAATGGAACTCGTAAATATACTTACCTTGTCACTGGTCATTTACAAAATTATTTTGTTAAAAAGCACTCTGATTGTATACACAAGTACTATGAAGTTGATATTAAAAAGATGCTTGAGTTTCTATGTAGTTTTTGGAGATCAGGTCCTCCAACAATCTGTTGGAATTCCCATGGTTACCAATTGCGCCCCCTTATTAGCAGACCCATTTTTGTATTCATATGAAGCAGAATTTATTCAAAAACTTCTACACGAGAAGAAGAAAACACTTGCTGTGGCCTTCAACTCGACATTTCGATATATCGACGACGTATTATCAATTAACAATAGTTACCTTTATTCATATGTCGCCTCAATATATCCCAGTGAGCTTGAGATAAAAGATACCAAAGATTCTGACACATCGGTTTCATATTTAGATATTTTACTAGATAAAGACGTTAATGGTAACCTAACAACAAAGCTTTATGATAAACGTGATGACTTTTCAATCGTCAACTTCCCTTACTTATGTAGCAATATACCCTTATCACCTGCACATGGGGTTTATGTCAGTCAGTTGATTCGATACGCAGAAGCATGCTCTACGTATGAACATTTTCTAAAACGAGGCAAGCTATTGACAAACAAGTTGACGAAACAAGGATAACAACAGTCTCGTTTGAAGTCATCTTTTCGCAAGTTTTTTGGTCGATACAATGACCTTGTCAGCACATACAACCTGTCATTGAGTCAAATGTTGACTGACGTTTTTCATACTGATTGTTAGGTCATTATTTATATACTGAACTGTCTACGGATATTTCCGGTTTTTGTTTCCCGATCATGACAAGGAACACACGGCGGGTGTGACCGGTCGGCAGGGGATGCTCACTCCTCCATGCCACCTGATCCCACCTCTAAATTTTGAGGTCCGTGTTTGCTCTGCTCCAAATTCGAATCGTTTCATTGGTCTACTGTTCGTTATCTTCATATTTCTTTCAGATTGTATTGTAGAAAGACATAGATGGCAAACTACCAATTAAACTTTATGGTTAACATGATGACTTCAACTTTCCTATTGTCAACTTCCCTTATTCCTATAGCAATATACCACTCTCATCTGCATATGGAGTTTATGTACCCCAGTTGAATCGATATGCAAGAGCATGTTGTACGCACTAACTTTTTCTAAACGAAACAGATTATTGACAAATAAGCTGATGATAAAAGGATATTAACAGTCTCATTAAAAGTCAACATTTAGCAAATTTTATGGTAGATACAGTGATCTTGTTTGCAAATACAATCTATCATTAAGTCAAATGTTGACTGGAGTCTTTTATATCAATTGTTAGGCAATTACTTTCACACCGAATGGTCTTTTTCCATTTACCCGAACATGACAAGGATCACACGGTAGTTAAAAGAGGTTGCTTACATCTCCATGGTATCTGATCCCACATCTGTTTTCAGACGTCTGAGTTAGGTCTGATCACAATTTGTATTATTTAAATGGACTTTTAATTAGATCACTGTTCGTTATCTTCATATTTCATTTCGTAATCTTCGATATTCATCTTCAAGTATGACAAAGATGTTTATAATGTGTCTGGTTCTAAATGGAGCATGTATCACTGGTTTTTTGAGGTTAAGATTCTTTTCAATTACTGTCATGTTGTTTTTTCCTTTAAAATTCTGATATAAAAATATTTTTAAAAAGGGTTATCTGTATTCAAACCGTTTGCCGTGAAACAAGGGTATTGTGTGATTTTAGGAACTCCCTATACATTATATAAAAGTATCCCACTTTTGCAAAAACCATGGTTTACTTGAAAGTAGAATTTAAATGGATATTTAGAGGATTATACAAAAATACTTTTATATATATACAATTGTGTTTTCACCAGAAGATCAAAATTGCATAGGTTATTGTTGAAGATTTCAGTCACAATACGACCAAAAGATAGGTTGTATGCAAACATGGTCATAATAACGATGATAGGATTTGCGAAATGCTGACTTTAGAAGAGATTTATGAAAGCCTTGTGACAACAACACATTTAGGTAGCCAGTCTCATTTAAAACTTACCGTTCTCAAAAGATGATATTTCGTGTCGAATCAGCTGTGAGATATAAACAGCATAATTATGCATGGGATAAAGAAATATAACTTCATAAATAAGAGACGTAGACGATTGAAAAGCTGAAGTCGCCCATTTGTCATTTAGTTTAGTTGTTTAGTTGGCCACTAACGTATATAGTCAGTAAACTATCCAGATATGAAATATGAAAGTGGTACATGTAGAAGCATCTCCAGTCGACAGGTCACTTCCGCCGTTGGCCCATTGTCTTGCTGAATAATTTTTCCAATAATTGAACGACCTTTGTGCCACTTGATGATGCATGGTAACTCTGTACACCTCCTCTGAATCACATTTTGAGGAAATACCGGCATAAACTATATATATATATAAAAATTAATTTTTTCTTTAAAAAACACCAGGCCTAGGATTTTCAACATTTGATATCTGTTCAAATTTCCTGGTTATGCGCAGATTTTCTGCCTAAGAACATTCGAGAGTACTATGATTTCAAATTAAGGTCAGGATGTAGCAAATAAAAGGTGCCTATAGATTTCTCAAATTTGAGAATCAAATTCTTTTAATGATCCTTTACGAATATAGCTTGGTGAAATAAGGTGTATCGGGACATAATTTTTAGGTAAATTCAACGAACAAACATTTTTAACTGCCATTTTCAATAAAAAAAACTCTACATAAATTTTACTTTAGACATACAGTACGGGAAAACTGAAGTTTAAATCAATTATGACGTCATAATGGATCTAGCACCAAAAGACAGTCTCAACTCATTTACTAGATCTTGGCCTTAAGAATATCTTGGAAAATCAGTGGGAAAAGTAAACTATGAAAAACAAGTACATGAACATTCCGTATGACTTTAAGATAAATAATGCTATCTTTCCAAGATGAAGATAATAATTTGATTCACCATTCATAAAGAGGTACAAGTGTACACTTACTGCAAAAATAAAATCAGACAGTCTCAAATAATCATCCGTAGATTTTAATTGACCAGAAATGTAAAGGAATTTCTTCAGTGTTGTCTTTTTAGTAATTCTTATACGAATCTCGGCATATTTGCCAAAACTATGAAAATTTTCCCGAGAAAAAAAAGATATTTTAGAGAAATTGTAAAATATGTTTACATACTGTACATAACATTGTCAAAAATGTGCCAAATTACAGTCCATATAACAGCTGGTATTTGATATGAATTATCATGTTTTTTTTAATACATGTAGCTATTTACCGTTCAGTTCATAGAATTTATTTATATGCTAAATTCAGTATCTGCGCATGTAAATGGACTATGGACAAGCAGGTTGGTTAATCACACTTTTGTTGTTGATTTTCAACGAGAGTGTTGAAATTCTTGTTTCATCAACTTATTTGTAAATTTCTCTCCTCGTTTTAGATATTGTTCGTATGTAGTATATGTAATATACAGTAATTATGTTCATGCGTACCGAATCGGTTGGGAAACATAAACACTACGCAAGGGATAGTGGAATATAGAGGTTGATGATGGAAAAGCTGAAGTCATCCAGTTTGTCAAATAGATTAGGTTTGTTTTATTTGCCATTAATTTCATATATAGTCAGTAAAACATCCAATTATAAAGCAGATGTGGCATACGCTCAGGTATCTTTTATC